CACGGGGTTCACGCCGTTCTACTTGAACGGCTTCCGTCACCCCAGAGTGCCTCTCACTCTTCGAGGAGACACTGACTCCTCTATTCTAAGTGGGGGAGAGGCTCGGAAAGCCCTTTCCTCCCAGGTCTCGGATGTGAGACCAGTTTCGCTGCGGAAACAAGTGGAATCCTTTATGAATACCAAGCTGAGCGTTGTCAGCAGGGTCCGCGATGCCATGGCAGCGGCCCAAGATAAACAAAAGGAGTACTCAGACAAACATGGAAGAGGAAACTTAAGTATATTTAAGGTGGGGGACTTAGTGTTGCTAGATACGAGGAACCTACATCTTGACACTGTCAGCTCTGTCGGCAGCAACAAGCTGAAGCACCGCTTCATCGGACCATTTGCAGTCCTGGCCAGACATGGTGCGTCGTACACCATCGACCTGCCAAAGTCAATGACGACGCACCCGACGTTTTACGTTGGACGTCTTAAGCGGTACTTTGATCCGCAGGGGGTTGCTGACTCGCATATTCACCTTGCCCCAGCTCCTCGAAGCGAGGGCCGGTCACAGACGTCGACGAGGGCGTCGGAGCAGGCACCCAAGCCTCGGTCGGAACGGCAAGGATGCGGTCAAGACCGTACGCCGGAGGGGCTTCATACGAACGGACCCCGGCGCCATACGCCGAGTACGCTGAGTACGCCGGGTACGCACCATACGCGTACGTCTGGGAGTGTGCCGCAGGCGGCTCCGGACGTGGCAACAAAGCCTCGATCCGCTGGATCATGCGAAAGGCCTCGTCCAGATCGGACGAAGAGGCCCGGCGATCCACCCGCAGGTGCAGGCTCGCGACCTCTCGCTCCAACAGGTCCAGGCGGCCCGCAAGACGAGCGAGCCCGCCCTGATTCCCGGCCTGGGCGGCAGCATCACCGCCAGTCTCAAGGCCAAGTGCAATCTCAAGCACGAGGACACGTTGACGGAGGCGGTCAACCTCAGGGCCCTGTGTCGGACCCGCCGTCGGAGCACTCGGACGAGAGGGGCTTTCGGGAGGCGCCGAGTACTCGTACTCGTACGAGGGCACCCCTGCTTGACCGGAATGGAGAAGTCCACTTCCACGTGGAACGGATCCTCCAGGAGCAACGGCGGCGCGGTAAGCGACAGCTCCTCGTGAAGTGAAGGGGTTATGCCCACTCCGAGAACTCGTGGGAGCCGATTGAACGGCTCCTGATTGACTGCCCGAAGGCTGCCGCAATCTGGGAACAGAAGCGGCGGCAGCTTCATAAGTTCCGTGGGTGAATACTTGAGAGACTCCACCCAAGCCCAGAACATGTCCTCACAAGAATCCCACGTGGGACAGTTCTCGGGCATAACCCAGGGGTATCCCCAAAGAGGATAGAGACCGCCCCGGGTCTCGGGCTTCTTACGACAAGTCGTGGAGTCCGTAAGAGGGATGCGGTGTGGCGCGAGAAGCACATACCGAGCCGCCTCCGAATTGTCAACAAACAACAGTTCCTTCTGAACAAGGGTACGCTAGTAAGCACCCCTAGAGGTGTGGCCGCCAACAAGGCCACCAGGAGCGACGAGAAACTCCAGGAAGAGGTCAGCCCCAGAGCTCTCCTCGGGAGGCCAGTACCCTCTTGAGTTGATGGCAGCTCCCTGGCTGACGGGTGCCACCACCGACCCCCCCCCACGCCAACGCTGGGCAGCTTGGAAGTCCTCCTGCTGCTGGTCGAGGCCATTCGTGATCTCCCGGGGCTCCGAAATAGCACCCTCCTCCTCTTCCTCCTCCTTCTCATCCTCTTCATTAGAGGAGTCGAAGAGGCCCCGATGAGAGTACCGAGTCTCCTTCTCCTCGCGGAGTGGAGACTTAGAAGCCGTACGCTTCTTAGAGGGCTTGACGCCTTCGGCTTTAGCGGCCTTAGCACGCGCAAGAACATCGGCAAGCGAGAGGCGTTTGCGAGACTTCTCTTCCTCATCGCCACCAGCTTTGGGAGTGCCCTAAGCCTTGGTGGCCGGACTCTCAGAGCGCACAGACGTCCTGGGGCTGTGATCACCTTGATCACTAGCGAGCGACTGCACGCTGTCGTCCTTGTGCTCACTGGGCACTGGGCTGTGCCCTCCCACAGAGCCCGCAGGAGCATCGTGCGTGCTTTCGGACTCGGCTTCGTCCTCACTGCCAGAGTTGAACTCACGTTCCACGAACCGAGGGTTCCTACGATTGTCTGAGGCCGAGGGCGACGGACTGCGGCGCTTGCTTGCTCGCTTGTCCACAGCCGCGTCACCCGAGGAACCGATCGCCTCGGAGGCCACCTGAGTAGCCTCCTTGAGTGCCGAGCCTTTGCCGTGAGGCTTAGTGCTCTTGGCTTGCGCCTTACCGGCAGCAGCCTTGGAGCGTGTCTTAGCACCGCTCTTAGCAGTTCCACGAGGCATGATTTACGGTCGAAGTGGAAACCCAGAAGAAGAGCGCACAGACTGCTGCTCGAGGCTCTAACTGTGAAGTGAGCCTCCACCGCGCTCGCGCGGCCAAGTCGATGGTTTTCGACTTTGATAATGAGAGGTTGTGACGAACACCTCTTCATTCTGATTGGTCGGTAAACCGAACCTTAGTGGGGGAGGATGTAACGGTGTACGTAGCCCTAAGTGTACCCTGGTTACATGAAGTGTGACACTTCACACTTTAGGTGTATGACACGTCATACTCCGGGATATTTGGTACAAGGTACCAAGGTCGCTCAAAGCCAACCATTGGTCAACGACATTGCATTTCTATAGGTGACTTATAGTTTCTATTAAACCCAAACTTTATCTACCTTTAAATATACTCAGTTTACAATCTACCTTATTTAGGTCACTTCGCTCTCTTTTGAATAAAGAGGGGGCCTGTGAACTGCCGTTCACTGAGAGTTTGTATACTCTCGGAAGATAACTTCCTCTAGCGCAAGGTGCCGTGTGACCCCGTCACAGTATACCTCGCTCCTAGCCCCTCTCAGATCTTTGTCCTGGCTTCCGAGAACGCCGCTCAGCAAGAGCAGAGCGTCCGTGTCGTCGTTCTCTTCCATCAGACAGGTTGCGTGGAAGTTTGCAAATAAAATCTTGAAGCCTCAGGCTCACAAGTGTTCCATTGAAACTGACGGGTACATCACGGGTTCAACTCTTTGGTAACCTTTTGAGGCACTTTTATTAGGACAGAGAAGTCGAACGTAAGTCAATTTGGGGTAGATGTCCTTTAAGACATGTAATCATATATTTGTTTTATTACTGACATAGTATGGCACCCGCTTGGCGTCTCTGTTTATATTTTTGAGATTCCAGTGTTATTTAAACGGCACCCCTCTTGTCCAGGTTTTATCACTCAGGTATTGTCCAGGTATACCGGCAGGTATTGTCCAGATAGAGTTTTTACGGTTTAAATTACTCTCATTTTCTTCTTTTGATTCCTAGCCACCGGTTAGGGAGACACGTGGCAGCCCCCCCCCTCCCACGCACCGAGGATAGCACGCACGCACAAGACTGCCCAGATCAAGGCGAAGATGGCAGAGCAAGAGCGTGTGGCCGAGGAAGCTCGTCAGGCTAACCTCGCTCTCTTGCGTGCGGCGCGTACGCGCTCAGAGAGAGCACACGCCAGAGAAATCATGGAGACATCTCGCCCTAGTCCAACTGAAGTAGCAGAGGACAGCAATGCTCAAGAGCGAGTGGAGGAGGCAACAGAAGACGTCGCAGATGAAGGAGGAGATGGTGAGGAAGGGCAGGGAGGTGTGGACACGTCGAGTGAAGCAAAGAAGACTACGGGCGATGAAGAGGACGATTCGGTGGAAGATGAAGAGGATGCAGAGGAGGAGAAGGTCGCTTCGGGCGAAGGGGAAGAGGGTGAACTGGAAGAAGATGAAGTGGAGACGGAACCAACGAGAAAGCGTCGTCAAGGAAAGCAAAGAACCGTCTCCGATGTCGAAGAAGAAGAGCTAATTCAGGTCCCTGTATTTAAGGCGCATCACGATTCGTGGGCCTCGCTGGAGCAGTCTCTCAAGGAATACATGGAGGCGACGCGCCAAAAAATCGTGGTGAAAGAGGTGATCAATGTAGCCCGCAGGAATGCTGATCTTCGGCGCCAAGTGAGGTACCAAGGGCTTCCTGACTCAGAGTTGCCTCTCGTCCCTGCAGAGATGGAACCTTATCAGCGCAAGTTTATCTGTACGCATGGGTGGTCCGAACGTGACAGATCAACGGGAAAGCGGACGTCACACAAGCTGAGTACTACCGATTGTCCGTTTCAGATGCTGGCTCAAGCTACCAAGCGTAGTGACGGTCAATGGGGCGTTGTGATGAAGCGTGAAGTGTACGCCCATAATCATCGTGTCTCCGAAGACATTTACAGGTCTTATCCAGGTATTCGCCAGGTTCCGGCGGACTCACCTTTGATGTCAGGTATTGAGCTGCTGGTTGAATCCGAAGCCGGGACAACAAGCGTGTACAACTACATTCGAGAGAACTCAAAGCACCGAGTCTCCATGGATGATGTGCACAATCTACTTCGCCGGCTGCGTAAGCAAGGTAAATGTTTGGTTTGATTACATGTCTTGTCTTCTTGTTCCCCTCTAACTTGATGCATTCGCAGGTGTGGAGTTGTCTGATAACGATGCCGTGGCTGAGATGATTATGGACTTCAACAGAGAGTCACCGGCAAATGTTTCTTCGGTGCACGAAAGTGCACGTGGTGTATACTCTATGGATGATCATGCCTGGAGTTCGCGAAGTTGGGTCTTTCCTTACTACCTTTCCAGTCAACAAGAATGGTGAGGGAAGGTCAATTCAGTGGCGCGTCGACGGAGATTACGTGCCAGATCGAGTGCGATTCCGGCTAGTCGAATCGCTTGTTGATGATGCGTTGGATAAGTTGAGGGGCGGATTGGCGCTAGATGAAGAAATTGAGTTGGACAGTGACGGTGAACGAATGGGCAGCATTGAGAGCTACGTGGTGTCAATTGAAAAAGTTGGTCAGTTCACCAGAGAGCAACTGGAAGCTATGAAATCCTTGTGGGGGCTACAAGATACTTGTCGCAATGCTGTTCTTTGCTGTACCTGGTTGAATAGCACTGTTAAACCCGCGGTCAGTGATCCCGCTTCAGCGGGTATTATAATGGGAAATATTCTGGAGTGTTGGCCGTATACACCGCTGGTTGGGTTCGGATTCGACCTGACGTACAACAATCTCTTTTGCTTTCGAGATTCCGCTTGGCTAAACGATAATGCCATGCGTGCTTTTGCGGTTTGTCTCGCACGGTACAAGAACAATTGTACAGTCGTCATTCCGCCCCCAAAAAACGCCAAAGATGCCAAGAATGGAACCCAACCAAAGGCCACCAAAAGTCGTATCTCTACAAGCACGCTCGACAAATTTGGTGAAAGTGTTGCCTTGCACCAATTCGTGCTTCTTCCTATCAATTTTGGTGGCACGCATTGGGGATGCCTCGTGGTTGACCGAGACACCAAGGTTATCAAGATGTACGACAGCATGGGCGGTAAGAGAAACAAGAAACGGTTGCAGAAGATGGCTGAAGAAATCCGTACTGGGCCTCTACGTGACGATTCCTACGAAGCTTTGGAAGTAACCGAGCCGGTGCAAACGGACAGTGACAGTTGCGGTGTGTTTGTGTGCCGGTTTTTTTGGACTTGCGTGAGCAGCGAATCCCCCAGCGATGTGTCCCCAGCTGGTATTACGAAGCTGAGGTGGGAGATGCTGCACGCAGTCATGAAGTTGAGGCCGCGCTAGTTATTCGTGCATATCCGTCAGTGCAACATGCATGCAAACACTAACGATTTTAATACATGGTCAATTCTTGGGCAAAACCTGGACAATGACTGTATGGTGCAGAAGTCGATAATGGTAAATTCGTGGTACGCCACCATGAGCGTGAACCGACACACCGCAGCGGCCATCACTCTAGAATTTTTCGAAGTAGCGCACACATGAGTATCCCAGGTTTTAAAACCTGTAAAATACCTGGGTAAACGGTGAAGAAAACGATTGGTTGCGGTGAGTTCCGACGTCGACTGCCTACGATCATTTCCACTTTAGCCTAAGTCGTGCACACATGAGTATCCCAGGTTTTATACCTGGAAAATACCTGATTTGGTCATTTAAGCTCCCGAATGTAAATTACCAAATCTGATTCCGTTCTCTATAAGGAAACCTGGGCGAAACCTGGCCCCCTAGCTGGACTATCCATGGAGAATCAGATTTCTGAGTATTTTTTCAATCTGGGAAACCTGGACGCTAAGGTCGTCCTTATTTAAAGGGCCTTGTTAAAAGCAAATAGTTTTACAGTCTTTTCGATGGAAGTTTACACCAAATGTCACAGCTTCGCTTAAGTGCGAAAATCAATTGGGCAACTTTAAATCGATTATCTCGATAACTCTAAATGGTTCGTAAGTATCATTTTGTTTGACGCTGTCTCATATTAACTTCATCGATTTTGAAGTTACCATCAATGTGCGTTTAACACAACGCACGGACACGAATTAATCCCGTACGTTTCCGAAGCACTGCCAGTATTATGTCTGCTCTAATTCGATTCACTTCAGTGCACTGATTGGTGGTGGGGATGCCCTGGAGTCCGTCGGTAGTCATGCTGTCTATTATCAAGCGTGGGCCACGAAGCCGGGAACACAGCAGAGAAAAAGGCGTCCTCGATAATACCAATGCACACCATCAGGACAACGTAGCTGAAGAGAATCATGTAACTATATACGTAGATCTGCCCGACCCAAGGAGTATACGCGACATCGTTGAATGTATCGTGAATTTCGTCACCATTCGCCACGGAAAAGAGTGTGGTGGCTGTAGAGCTCGCGGTTTGGAACCGAGGCACCTTGGCGCCGAACATGACAGTTCCAAAAAGCACAAACCCGACGAAGATGGGCAAAACACCGACGAGAAACTGCATCACTCGCGGTAAGCCGCGCCGCAAGGTGAGTCCAAGGATATGAAACCTTGTGTTTACCTGCATATAACGCACGAGGCTACACCACTGCAGCGCGCAGCACAAGGCGAACGTTAAGCATAGCGTGTCATTCAACGAGAGTCGGTAAGCGTGACGCCACGTAGCCAACAAGCACGTCACAGTCGCGAAATTGACAGCGAGCACAAACCAGAACCAGAAATCTTTGGCAGCTCCTTCCCTCAGTGCGAGCGTGATCAGGTGTTTGCCAACGTGTTGAGGATATTCCGATTGTTGAGCACCAATAGACTTCACCTTAGTCCACATCAGCGCGAACTCAACTGTCTGCAATACACGCACGAAGAATAAAATAAAAAAATAATTCGTAAGCTCCTTCTACTCCTTCCGGTCCTAATACACGACTCACCTGGTACAGACCAACCACCAGCAGTGTGATCCAGTTGAACGTGACACTTGTGTTTAGAAATACCGGTGGTATGTCCTCTCCTTCATCTCTTTTTTCACTCTCCAGAAGTGGCACATGAACAAGATTGTAGTTCATTGTCACCTCCAAATGACCTTGATTCAGTAGATCGTATCGCATAACCACCGTCCACTGATACAGCCTTTTTTTCATGCCGTTCCCGTCTATTTTCCCCTTCCTCTTCATGCCCACCACCACTTTGAGCTCCATGGCATCCAGTTCGTCGAAAAACTTTCTTGTCTCCTGCTTTCGCGCAGCCTCGCTCTCCATGCGCAGAGCTGCCGGCCACTGCTCGCTGGAAGAGGCGTTCGTAATGTTGTAAATTGAGTCAACTGGGTCCTCACCAATGTCTGTGCGTATTGTAAGCAGCGGAGGCGGCAGCAGCAATTGCGTCTCATTACCGTAAACCAGATACGAGTCTAGCGCCACGTCCGAGAGTTGGAAATAGTTGCGTACAGCCCCATGCAAATGCTGACGCGTCTCCTCGATGGTAAAGAGCGCTCCAACTGGTAGCGCAGAAGCCCTCGCAGCGAACCCTCCAGCGAAGAATTCGTCGTCCACGTTGGCCGCAATCTCCTCCTCTACCTCAAGCAGGAAGTGGGGGAGCGTCTCGAGTGTCGTTTCATCTGGACCGATCTGTTTGTCCACGTCCACGTAGAAGAGCAGACGTATCCAGTCGTTGGCAACAGCGCGCTGAAAAGGGTGCAATGCAGAGCCTAATTGGGAGCTGCGGGACGTCAGTAGCAGCACCGCACACACATGCAGCAGCGGTCGAAGCAGCGGAAGGGCCCGAAAGTTCATTCGCGTGGGTTTTATTACATGTACAGATTAGTTAGGAAGGATAATTATTCCAAAACCTATGTGCCTAAATCGACTTCTTTAATTTCATAAATCTGGGCTTAATTTAGACCAGTTGTGTGACGGCACAAGTCCTTGGACCAGAATGTAGCCATCTGTTATCAGCCCAAATTAAATGAATGACAAGGGTGGATGGATAATCCAACCCACAAAACCCGAAATCCGAATTTCCCAGCATGGCTGACACCTCATCAGAACGCGGCGCTGATGGCATTCGCGGGCGCAACAAGAAGGCAGACACATTGTCTGACATGGAGTGCGGCACGGATAGTGGTCCTACTATGGCCAGCACCTTCTCCAGCTCCGCTGCAGTCGTTGACGACGACGACGGCTCGGTGTCATTTACCCACGAGAAGGAGAGGAAGGCATTACCAGCCACAACCACGCCCTCCAAGATGCAGGCCGTGATCCGCTGGTGGAAGTCTATGCGGTTGCAGTTCGGCGACGATCTGTTGCTCCAGATTTTCTTTGTCTACTTCACCCAGGGTATTCGAAGCACGCTCTGCTCGCTGGGCACGAGCTACTACCTGAACGAGACGCTGGCGCTGCACCCGGCACAGTCCGAGTCACTGCGTGCCACCACTGCTATCCCATGGATCATCAAGCCGCTGTACGGCATGCTGTCCGACAGCGTCCCTATCTGGGGCACGCGCCGCAAGTCTTATTTACTCATCTTCAGCGCCATCTCGGCCGCCGCCTACTTCGTGCTCTCCATGCCAGGTCTCATCACGACCTATGAGAGTGCTCTGGTGGCGCTTGTGGTCGCGAGTCTCGGTATCGCTTTCTGCGACGTGGTCATTGATGGAAAAGTCGTGGAAGCTGCACGAAGCGAGCGTGAGGACATGGCAGGCAACCTCCAGACGCTTTCATGGATTTCGCTGTCGGTAGGGTCCGTACTAGGATCGGTGGTCTCAGGCTATGCCCTGAACACGTTCGGACCCCTTGGTGTGTTCTTTATCTCAGCACTGGGTCCACTATGCGTGGTCGTGATCTCCATTAAAACCCCAGAGGAGAAGAATGTGCCACAAGGAGACGTCGGCTTCTTCCTAACGCTGCAAGATCAATGTCGCACTTTGGCGTCGGTTGTAGTAGACCCCATCTGCTGGCGTCCAATGCTTTGGATCTTCCTGTCTAATGCGCTACCACCCAGTATGGGTGAGGCCATGTTCAGTTTTAAGACCGCCGAGCTGGGTTTCTCCAAGTCCTTCCTGGGTTTCATCTCCACGGTCGGCAGCATCACTCTTCTGGGCACCACTGCGCTCTACAACGCCTATTTCTGGAATATGCCCTTCCGCCGTATGTTCTTCCGCATCCAATTGGCCTCGGCCTGCGTGTCGTTTGCCGAGTTCGTGCTGGTATCGCGCCTGAATGTTTCCTTCGGCATCAGCGACCGGTTCTTTATCTTTGGCGATGAGATCCTCTCGGACGTCGTGGCTCGCCTCAAGCATATGCCATCACTCGTGCTTTGCGCCAAGATCTGCCCACCGGGTATCGAGGGCACCATGTTCGCGTTGCTGATGTCCATCTACAATTTCTCGTGGTCTGTGGCCTCGTACGGCGGTTCGTGGCTGTGCAATTATCTGCAGATCTCCAAGACCAACTTTGCGGGCCTTGCTGTTGGCGTCACTATACGCAGCATGGCCAAGATTATGCCGCTTTTCCTACTATTCATGGTGCCGGCGACTACTTCCATTAGCAGCTCGTCGCTGGCGTCCAAAACTAAGTCGAAGATGGCACAAGTAAGGAAACAGAGCGCGAGCAGTGACAACGATGACACTGGCATCGACCTCAAGGTGCAGGTGTAAGGGTAGCACCTGTACGTTTGAGGGCAAATTGTCAATGCAAATACAGTACTGCACCCCGTTTTCGCGCCCCTGGACCTTTAATAAACTTCCGGATGTGATGATCCTTAATCCAGGTAAACGATTGTTTGTTTTCTAAAATATGATTTATTCGCAAATCCTATATGGTCCACCTCCGCGAAAACGGGGTGCAGTACTGTAATACACCCTTCACTCCAATTACATGTAATCGTGCTTCATGCATTCGTGCCAGGGCCCGACTAATTAGTGAAGGGTGTAGCGGAATTAGTGCATCAGCGGTCGCATGATGATCAAGTCGGCACCGCGTGTGGGTTAATTCTGCTCTTCATTCCAAATATCATAGGTTATTAAATATCCAGTAGGAAGAAAAGCAAAAATCTGCAGAAACCCCTATCTCAGGCTATTAAGTTTCACATCTATAAATAATTCACGTCGTATCTCAGGTCTCTCACAAAAGGCAACATCTATCCAATGTCTTCGAGGTCTCATGTCGGTCGATCCCGGTCATATTGCAATCTTCCCTCTTAAGCTCAGCTCTCTTCTACGCACTCCACGCCACCCACAACCCAAATGCTAAACCTGTACCCGCCTGCAAATCACGCCGTGTACAATGGCGCCACGCTCAACTTTGCGCCTGAGATCGACCAAGCTTGCCAGGCCATTCACGATGCTTGCAAGGGCCTGGGTACGGACGAGGAGGGGCTTGTAGCTGCACTGGGCACCAAGTCCGCTGACAAGCGTTATCTGATGTCGGTGCGCTACAGAGAACTATTCGGTAAGGACATGAAAAAGGTGCTCAAGTCCGAGACATCGGGCGACTTCGGGCACCTCTTGCAGCTCATCGCTCGAATCGCTGACCGAAAGCCAAGGGCGGCTTATTCTCGACAAGGTCCAACCAAGGTTCTGGGTACCAAGGGAACAGCTCATCTACCCTATCGTCATGGGCCGCACAAATGTGGAAATCGGTATCCTTAAGAAGACGTACTACGACATGTACGGCAAGGACCTGGGCTCCGTCATGGATAGCGAGCTGAGTGGTGACGTCAAGAAGGCCGTTTTGGCGTCGCTTCAAGCGCCTTTGGAGCAGTTTAACCCGGCCTTCCATAGCCCACAGAAGGCGGAGGAAGATGCCGAGGCTTTGCATAGGGCTGGTGAGGGCCGTATGGGTACAAGGGAGCACGAGTTTATCAACATCTTAGTTGCCAGTCCTCCCCAGCATTTGCGAGCCGTCAACGCCGCCTACGAAAAAAAGCACAAGCACGGCATCGTTCACGCTGTGAAGAAAGAATTCGGTGGTGACGCTGAGGATACGCTGCTATTCCTGGTGCGCATGGTATTAGAGCCACTTGTGCTACTGTCGGAGCTATTCGAAAGTACGATGAAGGGCTTCGGCACGGACGAGAAGGCACTCAGCGCGGCGCTCGTGCGCTACCACCTTGTGCTACGTGACATCCGACCCGTGTACAAGAAAACGTACGGAAAGGATCTTCGTGACCGCATTCAGGGCGAAGTTAGCGGAGACTATGGAAAACTCGTGCTGGCCGTGTATGACTCACCAACGAACTATGACGAGGCGTAAGATACTCCGGATAGGTTTTATTAATCCTACAAAACTTTCCAAAATATAAAACCTACCATTTTGCTGATATGAAAAAATGTAAACAAGCATTTTTTGAGTTTTTGAAATAATCGCCTTTACATCTGACCCTCGTTTTTCGTACTTAAGTGATTTCTCAGGAGAGGGGATTCTGTCAAGAGAGTGGGTATCCTGCCCGACTGGGGTTGCCCTTCCCCTACGCATCCCTGTCTCTTACCGAGCTGGTTCATCCGTACAGCAGTATACATCGTATAGCGCCGTGAGCCACACAATTCGTTAACGGGGAGAGCGTGAGCGACAAGCATGGATCTCCGCACGCGCGCAGCGCAAAAGCGCCCTCTTACTCATTCAGCTGAGTGGGAGTCCGACGAGAGCGAGAGTAATAGCTCGGATGCGCCTCCTGATGACGTCTGGGCGCCTTCCCCCGTCGTGAGTGATCTTGATACGACACATATTCCGTTGGAGCCAGTGAGCTGCTCCGATCCGCCGGAATCCACCAGCAGCACAAACGAAGGTGGTAGCTCCGTCTGCAGCGGGGCTGCCGTAGCTTTAGCGTCAGAGGAAGACGTTCGACTCAAAGAGTCACTAATACTAAGTTCCTTATCCAAAGGAACTTACAGCCCAAGACCAGGGCTCAAAGTTAATACCTTAACTTTTATGCTTCAAAACCAGAAGTGTGGTGTAGCGGGATCAGCAAAATCTGCGAGATTGCCAGATCCAACTTACCAACTGCGCCCAGACATCGACTAACGGAGGGGGTCCCCCGATGATCCGTGTTCTGCTGAGCTTTCCTCACCTTGTGTACCCGTCGGTAGGGCGGGATCTTGCTCTCTCGGTAACTTCCGAAGAGTTCAAGTGGTGAAGCTTGAGTGTCTTGGCGAGGCGTGGGGATGGGGTGGAGCAGCAGAGGTAAAATCTTCACTCTGCGTCCGCGGTTGGTTCTGGATCCTAAGCGAATATTCGAGCTTATGGATTCGGGGCCTAGATCGTGGATCTGGCCGTAGGGTTGCCTTGCGGGTGTGTCCCTTGCCTTTGCGTTCCTTTGCGTTGTACTTGCCGCCTCCTGTGACGGGATCTTGAGAGTTGAGAGCCCCTAGGGTATAACCGACCAAGTAGTAAATTCGGTTAACCTGTCGGATCTGCACAAGTAAAGGAAAAGCTCACTAGGCTGTAGGATCTGGCCAATGTATTATCCAGTTATCACTACCAACACTAGATTCGCAATTCCCAACCTTCTCCTAGCTCGTACGGCCAATGTAGTTCCGGTTCTTGAAGGCAGGAAGGCACTTGCGTGTCACTGTGCAAATTGGAGTCTGTATTGATATTTAAGCCTTTACCTGCCTGGATTTCTACCTTCTATGTCTTTCATCTGCTAAATCCCTTACCAGGCTCGGCTGCATGTCCCTTCTTTCCTTGACCCATCATCCCAGCTGTATTATCTTCAGATCCACCGGATCCATGGCGTAATCATCATGGTCACCCTATTATAGGTACAATCATCCGGATCCAGGTCGCTTGGATCCACTTCACTGTAATTGTACACTCGCCGTGGATCCGAGCTCTCCAATCATCCAACATCATCTTGCAACCGTCTATGATCTCCATTGTCCCACGAAAGTTCCAGATCCACTGTATCCATCATTCCTGCATCTTGGATCCAGGTCGTTCTATGCGGGATCCTCCCTCCTTGGATCCGAACTCGGAAGTATGGAATTTAAGACTCCTCGCGGTGAATCTTGACTTCTCATTAGCCGTGGCTACTAGATCCACCTTCAGATGGCACTTACCACGGATTCACACTCGATCCACTGGTACATAGTATATCCCATATCCACCTAAGTGAATCCAGGTAAGGGTGGATCCGAGATAAGTCTTGGTGGATCTTGCCTTCCCGTACATCGCTCATACCAGATCCATCGTCATTCCATACGGGGTGCCGCTCGTCATGGCTAATCCACCACAGGCAACTTGCACCCGTGCCAAACAACCCAAATCCTCTCTAATCACTTGAAATTGTCACTGATTCGGGATAGTGACCCCGCGTCAGGCCCATTCTCTTATTTCTGAGAAAGCACTTCACCACAATCGCCTCCTGTACGTGGTCGGCGCTGCACAACAGCGTCCACGACGTGCACTACCAACATCCGCAACCGCTTTCTCCTCTTCGTGACACATGTCTGCTGCCAAGCGTACTGGCAATTCGCCGGGCAAGCCCTCATCCGCCACCCCTCCGGTCAGTCCGTTCTCAATGTCGCCCACCGATCTGCGGGTTCTAGCCCAGGCTCTTTCCGATCAGGTGCAAACCTTGACGGCGGAGCTCCAGACGGCTAAAGATGCCTAAGGCCAAGCTGCGTCTTTGCACGCCACCCAACTCCAAACCTTGCGAGCCCAGGTCCATGACCAGGCTATGGAGATCCAGGGGTGGGAGCACCGTGCGGCCTTTCGGTCGCAGGACCTACGACTCTTGCTGGCTGATCAGGCGGTCGAGATCCGCGACCTGACCGGACGGCTGGATCACGCCTCCCGTCAACGAGATAGCATGCGGGACGACAATGACCACCTCCTTAGGGAGATGACGCTCGCCGGATCTGAGATCCACCAGCTCCAATCCCGGATCCACGACCTCGAGCGGGATCTGGAGGATTCTCAGACTGCTAGGGCAGCCACGGACGTGAGCTTGGACCGACTCCGTGACGAGTTGCATCTGACCCAAGAGGAGATGGTGACCAACGACTATGTGGGATCCACCCATGGCGGATCCACCTTAGGGTCGGCGCGTGGAGGATCTCCCGCGCCAAATCCACCTCCCTCGTCGCCGGATGTAGCTCTGGCTCAGCTTGCTGAGGAGTTGCAGAATACCAAGGAGTCGCTCGAGAAAGCGTCTGCCGGACGAGAGTACGCGCTCGAGGAGTTCGTGCGTATAACTCAATTACGCGACGAGATCCAAGCGAAGCTGGCGGACACCAAACTCCAGTGTGACAAGGCGGCTACCGAGTGGGCGGATGTCAAACGAACGCAAATGGAGCTAGAATCCAAGCTCCGCCGCACGAGTACGTCGGTCTTCTTTTGTCTCCTGCTAGTAACCCCATATTCACTTGTCATGTCGATTCAGGTGACAAATAGAAGGATGCCGAGGCAACTGCAGCAAAACTCCGGGACCAACTCGCTGCTGCTCATGCTCAGCACCAGCGGCTAGTTCTAGAGCGCGATTGCGGGTT